CTACTACAACCACATGGAATCAGTATCGCACACAAGCCAACTAAAGCCCTTCAAAACATCCTAAGCAGACTAAAAGACCCAACAACCTCAGAAGAAAAAACAGGAATCATCTACAACATAAAATGTAAGGACTGCAACAACCACTATATAGGACAAATAGGCAGAAGACTTGCAGAAATCATTCACCAACACCAACTAGCAGTCAGAAGAATGATGAAAATCCTTAAATTTCACAACATATAGACAGATCTAACCATAGTTTCAATTGGGAAAATGTGAGCATCCTAGACCAAGCCTAGTCCAAAAATGGTAGGAATTTCTAGAAGCCTGATACTCTGACAAATTAGCCATCACTAGAAATATAGACATTAACATCTATAGACTATGCAAAAGGGACCAATAGAAAAGAGTGCTGACTTTCTGTCAGATGTTTTTGCCACACTCCCTGGCTCCAAGACACATGCTGTTGAGTTCACAGGAGGCTGGTTTATTTCCGAAACGCTCTGGCGTGTGGGATTCCAATGAACAGCAATGTCAGCGCTGGGAGCAACTGCCCCCCAGCGTTCTAAATAGGTGCCTCCTGGCTGGCCCCACCCCTACCCACCTAGCCAGCATCCAGTGTGCGCGCCTATAGGGCAGCAAGGCAAAGAAATGAGGCAGGCTTTCAGTGTTCAGCTCCCTGCGGCTTCTCTGCTCAGCTGTTTGGAGGGACAGCCTCATAGCTGGGCTCCACAGGGTCCCCCTTCCAGCAGACAGGTATAGGGAAGGGAAAGGGCTGTCGCTGCTGGTCCCATCTTCTGCCTTGTGACACCTCCATCTGGTAGTCTTGTCCCCTCCTCTCTCTCCCGTTAGTGGCAAGCCCACAGGGGCTTGACATCAGCACCTTTGTTTCTTTTCTATCTACTTCTTCCACTTAAAACATTTTGTTAAAGAGTTTATATAATTGTTCCCATTCACTTGTTGTAGAAATGTGGTCTTGGGTGATGTGGGTTGGAATTAAATCAAGTTCCAGTCTTCTATTGAGTAAAACATAAATAGAGAAATTTATTTACAATCTAGAACATTGTAAAATATAGAACTGAGAGATTTTTGAGAGGTGATTCCACTTCAGCATTCAGATAGAGTAAGTATACTTAACTTGTAACAACTCTTCATAGACTAAGCCAGTGGTTCTCAACCTTTCTAATGCCATGACCCCATAATACAGTTCCCCATGTTGTGGTGACCCCCAAGTGGGTGTGGCCACCAATAAGAGGGAGTAGGACAGCTAGGGAAAAGGGAAAAAAATGGCGGACAGCGTGGTTTGGCGACCCCCGTGAAATGGCCATTCGACCCCAAATGGGGTCCCGACCCACAGGTTGAGAACCACTGGACTAAGCTAACTCTATTACTGAGGTGTAGCGGGCTAACGGAAAGGCTTTGCAGGAGCCTGGTCAGCGAGAGGGAAGTGGAAAGCTGCTGCCGGTTTGGGCATGGCGGGTGTAGACTGGGGGAAGGGAAGAAAAGGAGAAGGAGAAAGGGAGTGGGGGTGGTTGTTGTTGCTGTTGGGGAGAGACCAGGTGAAGCTGAAGAGAATTGGAGTTTTAGGTAATTCCTCTCCTTTGGAGTAGTGGGAAGGAGAGGAAGAGAGAGAGTGGTATTTTATTGCTTTCTTTTGCAAGGGGATATCCCAAGCAAGGGGAAGAGAGTGAGGAAGTTGCCTGGGGTGCTGAACCAGGTTTTAATTAGAAAGAAAAGGGGAGGGATTTGGCATAGAGAGAGACCTGGGACGATGGGTCCTGACAGAAGAGGAGGCAAGACGCTACCACTTCGGAGACCAGCAGCCATCCAAACGCTGATTACTACTCCTATTCCCACTGTAACTGCCGGGGATATTAGGTGCCAAGATATCACATATAAGATTTCAAAAATTTTAAAACTCAATAATTTCAAAATAAACTACACATAGTCCAGATAAAATTTCTTAGACTACACATGAATGCTATTTCTAATCATTTTTCAGAAGAAAATAACCATGTTCAAATGAGAGAAAGACATGAGTCGCAGAATAGTTTAGTAACTGCTTTTGCCACAAAATACACATCTTTTTCATATTTTAGATGGTACAAAGAAATGTTTTCAGAAAAAAAACTATGTGTCTTCTTATTTTTCAGATCCTCTAACTCAAAATTTTAAAACAAGTAATGTATGAAAGTAAGGTTATTTTCCCAACTGTAGAAAAGCGTTTGTATAATATGTTCTGGATGTGTTACTCATGGTGAAAAAATAAATAGTAGTTTTGCTTTCTGAATGTTGTTGAAGGGTATATCATAAAACTGCCCTTGAAGACACTTGGATAAACTTCTAAAGTTGATTTACATTTAATCACACCTTTTTTGAGGGCAAGAGCGTTTCTTGAATTAATCTGTGGTCTTAATTCTTTCTGCATAGTCTGCATTTTCTCTTATGAAGGATTTGAGCAACCTTAAGAAACATACTTCTTGGGTTTTCTCCTAATTATTTCCTTTTCCTCCTCCTCCTCCTTCATCTTCCTGCTGTCACTTATTTGTAACACAAGTTACAAACAATTTCATCCTTCACTTCAGAGTCAATTCAATTTGCATTAAGGCTCAAAAGAAAAGACAACTAGCTAAATACACTTTGGTCACAAAAAAAATATTTGGGAATTGTAATGTTAAAGCAAAAATCAGTCTAGTCTTTCCATATTCCGGAATCCTATGGTTCATTGCCAAAGATATAACTAAAAGATTTTGCTATGGCAGTAGTTATTATTGTTGATGATAATAATATAATTATTCCATCTATTTTTACTTTTCTAGAGGAACTCACATCACAAAATATGTATATTTCTAGATTAAGATGAGATTAATGAGCCATATGGGGATTTGTATAGTTCAACTAGTTCAATACTTTTGTTACAATATCTTATTAGCTCTAAATAAGAAAAATAGATGACTATATCTTTTTTACCTAAGCACGTTTACTTTTTTCATATTTCTTGATGGTGTTTTAACAACTAAGGGTATCTAAGTTACGAGTCTCCTGAACGTTTCAAAGGGAATATGGTCTCCTTTTTTCCCTAATATCCATTTTTTTGGGCCAGATAAGACCATTTCTTTGAACTGTAGTGAAGTCTAGTTCTTAGAGGACTCGTAATCAATAGCACCTTCAAGAAATGTTATCGTCTTTTTGTGTTTCATCAAGCTGCTCTTGTTTCACAAGCTAGTATTTTCTTTCAAACTTAACTACGGCCCAACTAATTCCAACCTATTGACCTGGAATTATATCTCTATAGGACTTTTTTTTAATGAGTGGGGATGGGAAGTGGGGAGGGAGAATTGAGATGCCATATATACATTATATGAATGGGAGAGGAAAAGCATAAAGTTGTCTACTTGTGTTGAAGTCTTAGAAATTAAGTAATGAAGTTTTGATGAAAATTTTGCTTTGTTTGTAAAGTTGGGTGTGGTTTAAATTATGAAATGATAAGTGTATGTCCTCTTGATATGGGAGATATTTAAGTAATCATTCTATATCTAGTAACTTATTCCAGTGTGAGAAGGCTTCATTTACATTATGGGCAGAAATATTTATTAAAGTAATTAGCATTTAAACTGTTTATGATTATCCCAACAATTGCTCAGAGTGTAAATCCCTGTGTAAGCTTAATTCTTCTCCAAATGAATGTTGGCAGTGACAATAACTGCCTGACACACCCAGAACATTATTACTCAATTGCACATATCCTGTTGTAACTAATTATATAATAATTAGTTTTCAAGAACACATTAACTTTTTCTCTGGCATGCTCTCACCCTTCCCCACCTAGTTGCAAAAAAAAATAAAAAAATAAAAAAAAAATACAGCAAATCAAGTATATAGTGTGTGCTGGTGCCAAGTCTACCTTCAGGTTTAATATATTTTAATAAAACGTTATTGCATACTCTCCATATATTTAAATAGATTGCTGGCATGATCTTCTTTCTAGTTTTATGTCTATAAAACTTACTCATTGCACATTATTGAAACTGATCTGGAAAGAAAACTTAATAGCTGCATCATTTCAAATACAATGCTAGAGATCAAAATCTGATTTTTCTCGGAGTGGCTGAGCCTAGGGGTGGAGTCAAGAGAGGAATCAACCTGGAGTTATTGTGTTCCCACAAATGATCTAAATCCAAACCCTCTTGAATTCTGTTAATTCTTTATCTAGTGCCAATTTAGTGCTGACTGGTGACTACATTCTTGTGTATAGGCATAGGCCAGTGGTTCTCAACCTGTGGGTCGGGATCCCATTTGGGGTCGAACGACCATTTCACGGGGGTCGCCAAACTACGCTGTCCGCCATTTTTTTCCCTTTTCCCTAGCTGTCCTACTCCCTCTTATTGGTGGCCACATCCACTTGGCCACGCCCCTGGGGGTCACCACAACACGGGGAACTGTATTATGGAGTCACGGAATTAGAAAGGTTGAGAACCACTGGCATAGGCAAAAAAATCAGCTTAACTGGAATTTACTATGTGGTTCTGATTCTTCCCACTCAAGAGATTTGTGAGTTCTAGTTTCCAATCATCCAACTGAAAGTCTGTCCAAAATTTTAGTACAAAAGTTTTGAAAACAGGAACCCGTATGTAAGTCTGGTTATTTTTGCCCTTCAGTGACATTTCTACTGCACTCCTATAGCAGTACTGAAGCCCTAGGAAAAATACTGTGCCATGAATACAGTACAGTATATGCTATACTTTAAGATGAGCAATTTGAGTGGAAAAATCATATAGTATGAAAATGTTCTGGACTTCTCATCTTTTGTGAAAATGTATAGATTGCCTATCCTACCATTTTTAGCTGCCAAAATCTGCGATAGACAAGAAGGTACTAACTTACACAACCAATTCTTTTTTTAAAATGTGCATTTGTAGAGACTGTTGAATAAGGATAGGAATTTTGCCTAACTGAATATAGAATTATGGAATGGAAGTAATTCATAAGATTACAGTATATCAAAGGGTAAATATGTGAATACATTTTATTAAGAGCTTGTTTTCAAAAGACTGTCCACATGGCAGAGTCACTAATTTGAGTCCCTTATATAGCCCTTTCATTACAAAAGCTAAAATTCTTTTCTTTTAAAGAGAAAAGGTAAATTTGGCCAAAATAATTCTGGAGCTATGATTTCCCCCCACCCTTCTTCTGATCAATTGTGTCCAATTCTCTGAGAATACCTGGATAAATCCCTGAAGTTTTCTTGGCACGATTTTCAGAAGTGCTTTGCCATTGCCTCCTATATATGGCTGAAAAAAAGTGACCTGCTCAAGATCATGCAGCTGGATTTGTGCCTAAGGCAGAATTAGAACTCACAGTTTCTAGCCTAATGCCCTAACCACATACATACATATATGTATGTATGTATGTATGTATGTATGTATATATATATATATATATATATATGTGTGTGTGTGTGTGTGTGTGTGTGTGTGTGTGTGTGTGTGTGTAATTCAAATCAGAGGCTTTGAAATATATATTCCAGTTGAACTAATCTGCAGGAACCAAATAACTTAGAGGGACAGAACAGTTTTCTCTTTCTAATCAAACTACTAAAGTTTGTGCTGTAGTTGTAGATCCTGCTTCCTAACCTGATGCCTGCCCTCTTTATATTAGATTTCCCAAGCCAGCATGACCTAGGAATGGAATTGTTATCTGAAGGGCAACATTTTGAGGAGAAAAAAAAAGATTTTAAATAGGGTCACTGTTTTAGTACAGACACCCCAAGCAAAGGAGATAGTAGGAAAGTGCAATACCACCCTTCATTTTGCTCTACCTACTTAATCTTCCAAGTCAGAAAAGACCAAATTCCTTTAATCTATTTTGACTTTAAATTAAAGAAAAACAAACAGAATTTTTTTTTTTTGCACCTGGCTCGACAAAAGTAACTCGCTTGCTTGACGAGATTTCAAGCGGCCGGGATATTAAAACCCTGAAAAAAGGAGTTTATAATGGAAATGCTGACAGACTATTAACTATAGCATCACTGCTCTAATAAATGGAATGGGCTGTCATAATCTCTAGTTCATAAATATGCAAATACAAGACAGAGGATTTGCTCCAAAGGATGTCTCTATAATTTTAACTGACCTTTACTGATACTAAATGAGCCTGTTGCTTCTGATTTCACGTTTTAAATACAAAGCACTGTCTATTTTGCTTGCAGGATGAGATCCTGTTTTTCCTAGAAAGTGTATCAGCATTTCTACTTTCTTCAATGGAAGCAAAGCAGAACTCAAATGTCAATGCAAGGTTAAAAGTCCCACTTGCTGAGCAAAAACCTTCTTGGCTGCAAGCAATTTTTGGGTTGATACACATCCATATTCACGCCAAATATGTTTGCTGAATTAATTACTCTCTTCTCTCTCTCTTTTTTGAAGGGGAGATTTCAATTGCCTCTTTTCCATTCATGTGTCAAAGATCTCACTGACCTGCCAAAATTCAGTCAGTCACTCAGTGATAAACAGCCCATCAACACAATAATATCGACTCTGAATATTTTCCAGTTTTCTACTTTGGGCCAAATGGAGGTAAATCCAATGACTTAATATTTAATAACCTAAATGTAATTTGCTTAGAGTCTTTCATTGCATAGAAGAGAATTGGATGGCTAGCAGTTTTTTTTTTAGATTCAATCCTCCTCCCTCCCCTTAATTATTTTAAGCTATTCATCTTGGTATCTGATCCACTGATGCTTCGCCAAATTGCCAGCAGGGGAAAGATCTGTCCAATCCTGAAGCTAAATGAGTCACTGAGAATCAATCTGTTTAGTTTCTCTTGCTACGGCAGGGTTCCTCTGTCCTGGTCTCATTCAGAAAGAGGGCTTCAGCGTTGGACATTGCCGCCTCCTGTTTCTCCATCCTGGTTCTGTTCATCACAGCTGTTCATGGACTCCAACTGGCTGGACACAAAACCACAGATGCTCCGATGTCAATGCTATGCCGTTCTTGCTCTGATGGAAAATGAAGACATCCGAGCTTTCTCAAGGTTACTAGTGCAGTAGTTTATCAGGCATCTGAAGAAAAATGAACAACATGGACAAATTGTTCAGCTTGTTTTTTCAGCTGCCCCCAAATTTTGTTCCCAAATCCCCAAACGTTCTCAACAAGGGAATAGCCCCAGAGAAGTGTGGTGAAGAATTTTCACCTTTCTCTCCATTACTTTATAAGCTCAAACTGTCAGGTGCATTCATATACTTAAAAGGAAAATGGTTCATATAATCCTGAAAGGGAGGTGTAAAGGTTTTTGCACTGCCTGCTAAAAAAAAAAATGCTAAGAAGCAAGCATTTCATATTTCCTTTCTTTCTTCAGAGCCATGATTCAATTGCATAAAACTATGTGCCTTGCTCTTAAGAACTTCATGTAAGATTAAGATAACTGGTATTTTCATGGTAAATGATTAAATTAGCAGACACTGTTTTATCTTGAACTTTGCCACTGAGGCTGACATTTTTGCACAATTTACTCCCAGACACTGGTAATCTAAACTGCTCTGCCTCTCTCATTTTTCAAAGCATTTGAACAACTAAAGAGCCCTTCTGCCTCAGACTGATTTGTAAGAGGGCAAGTCTTGACACTCTTTCATCCTGGCATAAGAAACGGCAGAACAGAATATGGATGATTTCTTTATTTCTGCTGAACTTGGATGGGGACATCATTTTAGTGTATAGCATTGGTTCCCTCTTTTTGGGATGTGGGTGTATATGTGGGCACGCTTTCATATTGTGGGAAGGCTTAATAGTTTCAATGATACTAAGAGTGACATTGATGGGAGCTACTGTCAAGGTCATCCTTTCTTCTCCAGTAAGGTCAAGAGGAATGGTATGAAGCTAAGGATAACCTGCAACAGGACAGTAGATAAAGCTTTATAAGTACCAAGAAAGTCAAAGTAGAACAAACTTCAACCTGAAAAGAGTCAGAATAACAGATTTGGAAGGGACCTTGGAAGTTTCCTAGTTCAACGCCCCCCCCCCCCCGCTCAGGCAGGAAACCTTATTGTTCAGGCAGGAGCAATTAAATCAAGTTTTGTATTGTTGTAAAGAGACTGTATGGCTATGACTGAAACTACAGAGGAATTTGGGTACCAGATGATGACATTTCCAGTATTGGGGGGGGGATTCTGGGAAAAGCACAGGACTTGTACAAGTGGATCTGGAACTAATGATGTAACCCAATCAAAATCAAAATTAACAGGTGGCGCAGCAGTTAGAGTGCAGTACTGCAGGCCACTTTAGCTAACTGTGTTCAGCAGGTCAGTGGTTCAAATCTCACCGGCTCAAGGTTGACTCAGCCTTCCATCCTTCCGGGGTAGGTAAAATGAGGACCCAGATTGTTGGGGGCAATGTAAATATATATATATACATTGCTTACTGGTGTACACCGCTTAGAGAGTGCTTGCACTTAAAGTGGTATATAAGTCTCATAAATAAATAAATAAATAAATAAAATTAGTTTGATGGTGCCAGTATCAAAAGAGGAGGAATGTGCCTCTATTTACAAAGATGATCCAAGAAATACAGATTTGAATTAAGAAGGATATAATTCTATTTCTATTAGAATCAGTGGATATTCAATGAGTATCTGTGTTATTGAAGTTAATGAAGCCAATATAGATACAGGGAAGGAAGATCCTGAGGAATTCTGTAACAAATTGCAAGAAGTGCTAAATGAAACATCAAAAAACAACAACAATGTAGCCCTCGTTATGGTAATTGGAATAAGAAAAATTAGAGAAATGGAGGAGCGTATAATTACAAGAATACTTGGATTTGATAAATGCAATAATTTAGGACAGAGGCCAATAAGCATTTTGTGAATACAATTCTTTGTTCATTGCCAACATCTGCTTCAAGTGACAGAAATGCTAACTCCTCACTTAGATATCACAGGATAGAAAACCAGAATCATGTGGGCTATCTGTTAGGAAATAGAAATACAGGAAACAGAAAATGTGAAAAGGAAATCCAGCCAGCTGTGACAGTTTCAGGGGCAGATTGTGGAACAGACCATGAATTATTGGTGTCAAACATACAGGTTAAATTTAGAAAATTAAAGAAGGAAGGGCTGCCAGTAAAAATTGAGATGGAGAACATACAGCCAGACAACAAGAACGATATAATGAATATATTATGCACTTAACTTAAGGAGTAAGGAACTTGAGAAGTTATCATAAAGGTATTATAGTACAATATTTCTGGAGTTAAGATGATGTCACTAAATTTAAAATGCAAAATTATACATCCTCAGGGCTTGTGCTTTTTCTTAGGTAGGGACAATAGTGCTGGGTTATTTATTTATTTGTTTGTTTATTTATTTCCCACCATTATTATTTTTATAAATAAGTCAAGGCGGCAAACATCTCCAACAAAGAAACTTCCTTTCTCTTATTTTCCCCACAACAACTCTGTGAGGTGAGTTGGGCTGAGAGAGAATGACTGGCCCAAAGTCTGCTAGCCAGCTTCCACAACTCAGTTTCCTGCTTACCAGCCTGGTGCTTTAACCACTAAACCAAACTGTCTCTCTGGTTATTACTTTTGAAAAGGCTTTATGGGGAGCTCCACCATGTATCAAGCAATACCTTGCCAGGTTTGAACCTGCTCTTTTATTCAAACCACGAACAGAGACCTTGTTGCAAGTCCTCTTGTTTGCACAAGTATTGTCCAGGTGATAGGCTTTCTTAGTGATAGCCCCCTTAACAGAGCACCTTCCATTGGATGGCCCTGATCTTGCTAGCGTTTTTTCTTTTTACACAAGTGGAAGCAGTTTAGCTTGGTCCTTAGATTAGATCAGTTTTAAGAGCATTAGATAAACGGGAAAGATCCAATTTCAGTATGTCTCATTGTCAGAAAGTATTAAGACTGCGTTGTTATTTGTTAAAAATTCTTCCACTGAATTGAACTAATAAGCTAATGTTCCTCTACTGACTGATATAAAATCGAAAAAAAAAGACATTCACCTTGCCTTCCAACTTAAAACCTATTAAGTTAATTTTAGACCTTAAGGGGTTATGAGAGAAAACATACTTTGCCACCATGGGAGTGGGAGCACTACCAAAAAATTGCAGTGTTCCTTCCACGCTGAGGTAAATGAAGAATCTCCTCTCTGTCTCTTTTAACCTTCCAAGATACCAGGCTCAAATGAAGTTTGGTTGTCCCACAGTTATGATCCAGTAGCCATCTCATGAAACAGGAAATATGAGACAAGAAGGACGATCATTCTCAATATTTTACTTCTATTTTCTTTTAAACTTATATCAGGTTTTTCCAATAATCTTTTAACATGAATGATTTTAAGAAGTGCTTCTTGTTTCTTTTCTTGTTTTTTTTCTCCACTCTTCATTTCCTTTCCCTTTTATAGACCTTAGACCAGTGTCCCCACCTCCTGGTCCATGGTACCGGTCCATGGCCTGTTGGGAACTGGGTCAGACAAGCAGCAGCCAGCATGCAAAGCTCCATTTGTGAAAGCAGTGGCATATGTGGGAAACCGTGCCGCAGACACCACTGCCAATCTGCAGACCTGGAAAGGTTGGGGACTATATACCTGACAACATGCATTATCTTGCTTTTATTGGTTTATAAGTCACTTGGGGAATCTTTTCAGCCAAAGAGTACTTTATTTTAGTCTCACATCATCCCATTTTTCTAGATGCTCAAGGCAGCTTAAATGGGGATCTCCTTTCATTTATCCCTGCAAAACCAAACAATGAAATAGGCTGGGCTGGAAGAAAATGACTGATCCAAAGACATAAAGCCAGTTTCTATGGCCAAAGTTACATTTGAATCTAGATCTCCTCCATCCTAGTCCAACCCCGTAACGATTACACTATATTTCACTCATATAAATGCTTTAAGTAAATCAATTTTATAATTTTGCAAGGAAATCTATTCTACAGTTCTGGAAAGGGATCACTCTTGCTATAATGTGCCAGAAGATTCAATCATGAGAAGACCAGCTAGTAAATACCTGCAGATATGTGTTATTCCCAGCAACAATTTTCATGGGTCCAGGCCCAGGCAATGTTTGACATAAGAAGAGTTAATGAAGTTAGGAATGGAGCTCTAAACATGGAATCTACTGAATCTACTGAGGCATTGCTGCTATATCCTGAAATATCTCCTTGGAAAATATATTTAATACATATGATCAGACTCACCCTCTAGAAAAGGGAAAATGGCAGAAAGTCAAAGTAGGAGGAACAACTGGGACTATTAGCACCTATAGGTTCTGTCAGCAGGGCAAAGTGAGAAGAATGTGTTGCACATTCCAGCTTTCATTCTTTGTGATGGTTGATCAGATTATGCTCTATATATTCTTTTCTGTTCAATTATACAGTAGTACATAGAAAAAGGCTAACAGCAGATGGAACAAAATTACTCAGTTTTAAAAGAAGGACATTGCAGGATAGGCTGACTCTTGTATTTCAGCAGTCTGAGTTGTGTATTATTATGATAAATCAAGCATGGCAGATGATATCATGTGGGCTTACCTTTCAGCTACTTGGTACATCACTTGAGCATTGGATTTGTCATCACCAAAACAATTAATTATGTACTTCCATGTTATCAACGTAGTATATGAAAATATACTTGGCTAGCTCACACCATATGGGTCTCACTTATGTCAGCATCCTTCCTTAATAGAGGAGGTGAATGTTGGCAAGAGATAATAAAATGGGGTCATGAGAAAGTCCAACTTTCATAAGCTACATTGACAAGCAGGATGGACAGATTATGCAACCTCCAAGATAACACATAGAACAAAATGGATTCTGTAACAATTCTGCTTTCTCCACTCATCACCTAAACAGACTATGAAGTATTTCCAGCTTTAATATATTTTGCATGGTAATTTTGAGGTATTTAATCACTACTAGGTAATGACAGGTAGGCTAACCAGCCTAATGTGTCTTGAGCTGAGCTCCTGTAATGGTATGAGGGAATGGCTATGGGAGGCACTGCAAAGAGACTCAGCCAGGGGAATAGCCAGATAAAAGCAATGTAACTCACAGCAGGAATA